GGACAGTGATGGGGTTTTTGGGGGGAAATGGGGACACTGGGGGGCTCTGGGAGCCAGAGGGGCAGGGGGAAGTCATTGGGCTACTGGGGGGGCCGTGGGGAGAGCTGTGGGGCTACTGGGGGAATGTGGGGCAAGGGGGATGCTGGGGACCCTATGGGGGGCTGTGGCTGTGGGGCAGGGAGCTGTGGGATTACTGGGGGGCTGTGGGCAGGGGAGAGCCGTGGGACTGCTGGGGGTTATGGGATGATGGGAGGCTGTGGGGCAGGGAGGGCCCTTGGGGAAGAGGGAGCCAAGGGCAGGGCTCCAGCAGAGGCGCAGGAAGAAGTCACACACTGCCAGACCCGAGTGGGGGTTTATTGGTGGGTCCTGGCCCCACGGGGATGGCACCTTCTCCCACCTCAGCCCCACAGAGCCTGGGCCGGAGCTGGGGCCAGGAAGGAACACCCCATGGCCATGCCAGGGTACCCACAGCACCTCCAGCTCAGCCCCAGGGGGTCCTGAGCTCCTCTCCAGCCCAGAGGAGAGAGAGGTGCCACGGCCAGGCCCCTCTGCCCACCCTGAACATCAGGACAGGGCCACTGTCACCTGATGGAAGCCCCGTGTCCCCCCAAGGGACCCTTTCACACCCCATGTCCCCCTGAGGGACCAGGACACCACAGGCCTCGCAAGGAGGGGGGCTCAGCCCCCACAGCCCCCGGGACCCCACAGCAGCTACATGTTGAGGAAGGCGAAGGCCGAGGGCTGCCGAAGGCCCTCCGTGTCCATGCCCGTGTCTGTCCCTCTGTCCGTGCCCGTGCCTGTCCCTGTGTCCGTGCCCATGTCCGTCCCTGTGTCCCGGGGCTGGGGCAGTGTCCGTGTCTGTGCCAGTGGCGACTCCGACCGGATCATGGCACTGGGACGGGCCACCAGCTCCATCCCAGCGAACAGGGACAGCCCGGGGGCTGCCATGTGCCCCCCTGGCCTGATCCCCTGACCCTGCTGGCAGGGACACGGAGGCACCGCGGCCCTGGGGGGCTCCGCTCCTGCCCCCAGCTCCTCTCCAGGGGCAGGGGGGGCCACGGGGGGTGGGCTCAGCGGGGTCAGGATGCTCTCGCCCGCCAGGGCCGGGCAGTCCATCAGCAGGTCCCCGGCCGAGCCTGCCGGGGGGGGCGGGGAGGGGCGCAGGGCCCTCGGGGAGGGCTGGGCCCGGCACAGGGCCTCGAACTGCCGCAGCATCTGCGAGAGGAGCAGGAGGGGCCAGGTGAGATCAGCAGAGGGACAGGTCACTCTGTCCCCAGGCACAGGGACTCTCCCCAGTGTCCCCTCGTGGGAAGCATCAACCCACCCGGGCTCCCTGCTCCCGGGAGAGGCCGCCAATCCCCCCCTTCTGGGACATACACTGGGCCATCCCCAAGAGCTGTGTGTCTCCTGAAGTGGGGAGCCAGTTCCAGGAGCCCCCCTGCTCAGAGATTGGGCACAGGGATGTCCCCAGAGTCACCTTGGTTGCCCGGTTGGCCACAGGCCCGGGGCTGCCTTGGCTGAGCTGCTGCAGGTGCTGCCGGGTCACAGCAAAGATCTGCTCTGGAGAGAGCAGGTCGGAGCAGCCGAGGGCGGACAGGGCAGACATGGATCTCTACGGGAAAGGGGATCGTGGTTGAGCTGGGCAGCCCCCAGAGCCCCCAGCCCCCTTGAGGGGGACATCCCGTGCTCACCATGCGGACGCTATCGCTGGGATCCTCCAGAGCCCGGCCCAGCAGCTCCAGCACCACCTCACAGTTCAGGAGTCCACACCTGGACAGGGAGGGAGGTCACAGCTGCCCACAGCCCCTCCTCACCCCTCCCCACCATGGGGATCCAGGCCCAGGCAGGGGGGTGGGAAGGGCTCAGGGTGCCCCCAGAAGCTCCCAGCTCCAACACTTACTCCTTGAGGAAGTGCTGAGCCTCCTCCCTGGTGAGGAAGACCCTGGCCCCGCGCGTCAGCCCCGACACCAGGCTCACCTCCCGCCGGCAGTCACCGGGGCTGTCAGCGTCCACCCTGCAGGGGACACACCTGCTGGGCACAGGGGACACCTGCTCCCCTCTCCTGGGGTCCGGCACAGACCCAGCACCCCCCAAGAGCCAGGGACCCCCCACCCCTGAGCAGTTCTGCCCACCCAGGGCCGGGAGGCCAAATATCCCAGGAGGAACAGCCGGCAGCACCAGGGCAGCGTTCCTGGGGATGCCCCTCGCACAGTGCCAGGGGCAGGGGAGCCCCTCAGCCCCCCTCACCTGTCGGCACTGTGGCTCAGCTCCCGGCTGGCCCCGGAGCGGCTGTCGCTGCCGGATTTGCTGCCCGAGTCTGAGGCGCGGCTCCGCTCGTGTCCCTGCGAGGATTCCCGGGAGCTGTGCCCGCTGTCCGCCTCCTCCCAGCCGCCCCCGGCCAGCCCGGGCTGGTGACTCACTGAGGGGACAGCAGTGCTGAGCGGGGGTCCCCGAGTCCCCCAGGGTGGGTGGGGACCCCCTGGCAGGACCCACCTCGGGACCCACAGGTGTTGGGGGGCGGCGGGGGCAGCGGGGCCGGGCTGCCGCTGGGGGAGGGGGCTCGGACGGGCTCGTAGGTGTCCTCGGGGAGGTCCCCCTGGGGCCGCCGGGGCCCCCCTGGCGCTGGGAGCACAGCCTGGGCCACGGCCTCGGCCGCTCGCTGGAGGCTGCTCAGCAGGGCCTCCCCGGTGGAAGCTGTGGAGAGGGGGGGTGTGAGAGAATCCCGGGCTCCCAGACTGGGTGAGCGAGCTGAGGAAACCCCGGGAGCTCCGGGGACAGGGTACAGAGTGCCCCCCAGGGCCCTGTCACAGCTCCAGGAAGGGCAGGGCCCAGGCAGGACTCACCGGGGCCGCTTCTGTCACCGCTGAAGCCGAACCCCTGCAGGGACCCGCAGGGGCTGGGGCTGGAGCCCATCCCTGGGGACACACAGGGAGCACTCAGCACTCGGGGTCCCCCCTGGCTGAGGCTCCCCGGGGTGCTGGGGGGCTGCACTCACCGGCGGGGGCCCGGGCGGGCAGTGCCAGGGGCTGCGGCAGCGGCGCATCCGAGAAGAGAACGGTGGCCAGGTCCTGGGGGATTGGTAGAGGGAGGGAGGGAGGAGTGTGGGCAGCGCTGGGGACCCCCAGGGTGGGGCTGGGGTTGCCCTGCCCCCCCTCTAGCACCCACCTGTGCAGCCGCCCGCACCTTCTGGTTGAGGCTGTTGCCGTGCAGGGGGTCGGGGGGCCCGGAGAACACTGTGGACACATGGGGGGGGGATGGGGGATGGACCCTGCTGCTGCTGCAGCCCCCGCAGCAGGAGCCCACCAGGGTGTCCAGCCCAGCCCAGCCTGTTACCCGCAGCCTCGCGGATGAACCCCGCGTTCCTCTTCAGCTGCAGCACGAACTGGGGGGAGCCCTGGGAGCAGGTGTGCAGCAGGATCTTCAGCACCTGGCCCGGGGCACAAGGCCAGGTCAGGGGTGCCCTCCAGTCCCCCTAAGGGGGGGTGGTCCAGCCCATCACCTGCCGGGCCCCTGGCACGGACCCACCTTCAGCTTGACATGGCAGGAGTTGCTCTGCAGCCGTGTGAGGAGGTGCTCCAGCAGGCACTGGCTGCTCCCGGGGGACTCGTGGGAGATCTCTGCGGGGATGTTAGGGATCCTGCGCCCCCCAGCCGCGATCAGGGAAC